TCATCAAAGGTATTATCTAAGTAAGTTTCAGAGATAGTCAGAATATGAATGTCATCTGTTACTAGCAAATTATTGATTTCATGAACCTTGTTTCTTAAGCTACATATGTTAACGTGGGCTATTTTGAGCACTTTTCTTCTGGGATGCTTACTTGTTTTTATTGCTTTACTGGTAAGCTTAGCAGCAGTAGATGTGCTCATGTTCTTTATGTTAGTGCAGGGTGAGCTGCACACAGTGGACTTCCTCCTCGGGCACACCGGCTCAGTACTAACAGTATAAATCTGGTTCTTAGGCACATGATTACTGCATACAATAGCTGTAGGATCAGCAGAGGCATTCAGGGCAGTTAGAGGGACATAAATTAGGTTACTTATGTTGTGTCTACCGACGCCCCTGATGTAATGTACATTTGCTGAAGCATTTTGACAACTCTGTGTCACAATGGTAGGGATTAGCTGAGCTGGGCTTGGGTCATTGCTAAGTCATTGTCTCAACACAGCCTTATAATGCTGTGAAAGGATCCAAGAACCAAAATGATTTGGGTGGATCCCATCCTCCTTATAAAACGTGTTTTATTTCCAAAAGGTATCGAAACTGTCAACAAAAATTACACCCATTGAGCTGCAATAATCACGTAGCCAGTTGTGAAGAGCAAGAATCCTGCTAAAGCGTTCAATGCCACGATTCAGAGAGGGCACAGGGCCAGATATGATGGGTTAGCAGCTTAGTAATGTAATTTACTCGAGCTCCGGGATAGGACATTGTTTTTGCACCAGGAACGGTCACATTTCTTACCATGGAGCTGCCCAAAATCACAGCTGGCGAGAAGGACGAGGAAATCTGCCAACTCCCACGCTTCACAGGATGCAGGCCTCCGACAGATGGAGAAGCCCCGCTCTATCCAGAGCAGGGACAGAAGATTGGCGACGACGACTTAAAAATCATAGTAGTAGGCACTGCGGCTGTAGTCCACGATCAGCTACTTTGTTTTGCTGACGTTGAGGGGGAGGTTGTTGTCCTTGCACCACACTGCCAGGTCTCTGACCTCCTCCCTATAGGCTGTCTCATCGTCATTGGTGATCAGGCCTACCACCGTTGTGTTGTCTGCAAACTTAATGATGGTGTTGGAGTAGTGCGCGGCCATGCAGTCGTTGGTGAACAGGGAGTACAGGAGGGGACTAAGCAAGCACCCCTGAGGGGCCCCCTTGTTGACGGTTAACATGGTGGATGTGTTGCTACCTACCCTCACCACCTGGGGGCAGCCCATCAGGAAGTCCAGGCCCAATTGCAGAGGGAGGTGTTCAGTCCCGGGGTCCTAAGCTTCGTGATGAGCTTGGAGGGCACTACGGTGTTGAATGCTGAGCTGAAGTCAATGAACAGCATTCTTACATGGGTGTTCCTTTTGTCCAGGTGGGAAAGGGCAGTGTGGAGTGCAATAGTGATTGCAACATCTGTGGATCTGTTGGAGGTGGTATGAGAATTGGAGTCATAGTCATAGGATAACTATTAAATTGTAGGATCTTACTGTATTTATTGAATATTCATTATCAGAACACGTTTTTTTTAAATAGAGTTAAAGACAGATTTTCTAAAATTTTCTAGGATTTGCAGCAGCAGGGGAGCAAAATAAATGACATGATTAGACATTGGACTTTTATTTTGAAATTTCTGTGTCGCCATTATTGCGTCTGTATTCAGACACACTGCTCCTTCAGTTTGTATCATCACATGAATTAGCAACACGGAGGCTAGCTAGCTGTCTACAATTGTTTAAACAGCTGAAATGGTGAGTTCAAAATGAAATAATAAGTAGCACGTGCAATTTAACGTATACATAAATAGAGATGTGCTAAAGCCAAGGTATTGTCATCCTCGGGCCCTTTAGTTTTTTTTCTTCTTCTATGTCTTAGCTAACGGCTAGCTAGCCTAATATAACGTTATCAACACAGGTCGGAGGCCCTGGCCGGAGCCCCACTGTTCTTTCTAGGTAGATAGTTTTGGTTAGTGACAATTGGCTAGTGTAGCGCTTTTCTCGTTTCCCACTGCGATTATTATCGGCGCACGCTGCCAATTTAGCTACACATAAAGCATTAGTTAGATAGCTAGTTACTGGCTCATCGTCTTGTCTGGACGTCACGATAAATGTTGACTGCTATAACGTTAGCTGTCAGGTGTGTAATTTGTCTTTAGCCCCATGGCACTTCTAAGTTAATTAGTCTTCACTGTAGCATGTTTCATGACATGATGACATTTAGCAAACTAGCCAAAACACCCATCTGTTGTTAGCTAGCTAGCTAATTATCACAGTCCCATAAATTAACGTCAGCCCCATTGGAAATATATCTGACTCGGTAGATACTGGGGTAGATGTTGCAGAAACTATGCAAAAGTCGCTCCGCAATTTCCTGGTTGCAAAATAATAGTTCGCCTAATTTCAGTTTATGTGACAAAACAAGCAAGTATAGGGTACAGAATCATTGTACCATCTAAACCACTGTGAAATATATTTTCCATATCCAAAAATATTGTATTTTCAGCTGTTTGAAGCTGGTGTACAAAACCCGAAAGTAAAAGAGACAAAAACAAAACGTAAGAACAGGAAGCATAGAAATAGCACACCAAGAACAGATTTACCGCTTCTTAAACTTGCTTTCAATGCAAATGGCAGATCTATTATGAACATTTCTATGTGAATTTGGTCGGGTCCCCCCAAAAAGTGACATATTGCAGCTTTAACACATCGCTTGCGGTATGGTTTTGGAAGCGTAAGGACCTTATCTTGCGTACCAGAGCACCAAGTCTGGAACTAAAAAGGCTCCTTAACCATGCCATAAGACTGCTGAACAGTAAATCAAATGGCTACCCGGACTATTTGCATTGACCCCCTTATTTTATTCTTATTTTTTTGTACTGACTCTCTTGCACAGGCTCAAAGTATACTCACGGGACTCTAACCACACACTCACACATACTACACTGACGCTCCAACACACACACACAAAATGCACACACATACACTACTGGTCAAAAGTTTTAGAACACCTACTCATTCAAGGGCTTTTCTTTATTTTTACTATTTTCTACATTGTAGAATAATAGTGAAGACATCAAAACAATGAAATAACACATGGGATCATGTAGTAACCAAAAAAGTGTTAAACAAATCAACATATATTTGAGATTCTTCAAATAGCCTCCCTTTGCCTTGATGACAGCTTTGCACACTCTTGGCATTCTCTCAACCAGCTTCACCTGGAATGCTTTTCCAACAGTCTTGAAGGAGTTCCCACATATGCTGAGCACTTGTTGGCTGCTTTTCCTTCACTCTGCGGTCTGAATCATCCCAAACCATCTCAAGTTGGTTGAGGTCGGGGGATTTTGGAGGCCAGGTCATCTGATGCAGTACTCCATCACTCTCCATCTTGGTAAAATACCCCTTACACAGCCTGGAGGTGTGTTTATTCATTGTCCTGTTGAAAAACAAATGATAGTCCCAATAAGCCCAAACCAGATGAGATGGCGTATCGCTGCAGAATGCTGTGGTAGCCATGCTGGTTGAGTGTCACTAGCAAAGCACCCCCACACCATAACACCACCTCCATGCTTAACGGTGGAAAATACACATGCAGAGATCATCCATTCACCCACACAAAGACACGCCGGTTGGAACCAAAAATCTCAAATTTGGACTCCAGACCAAAGGACACATTTCCACCGCTCTACTGTCCATTGCTCGTGTTTCTTGGCCCAAGCAAGTTTATTCTTATTGGTGTCCTTTAGTAGTGGTTTCTTTGCAGCAATTCGACCATGAAGGCCTGATTCACGTAGTCTCCTCTGAACAGTTGATGTTGAGATGTGTCTGTTACTTGAACTCTGTGAAGCATTTATTTTAGCTGCAATTTCTGAGACTGGTAACTCTAATGAACTTATCCTCTGCAGCAGAGTAACTCTGGGTCTTCCATTCCTGTGGCATTCCTCATGAGAGCCAGTTTCATCATAGCGCTTGATGGTTTTTGCGACTGCACTTGAAGAAACTTTCAAAGTTCTTGAAATGTTCCATATTGACTGACCTTCCTGTCTTAAAGTAATGGACTGTCATTTCTCTTTGCTTATTTGAGCTGTTCTTGCCATAATATGGACTTGGTATTTTACCAAATAGGGCTATCGTCTGTATACCCCCCCCCTACCTTGTCACAACACAACTGATTGTCTCCAACGCATTAAGAAGGAAAGAAATTCCACAAATTAAGTTTTAAGAAGGCACACATGTTAATTGAAATGCATTCCAGGTGACTACCTCATGAAGCTGGTTGAGAGAATGCCAAGAGTGTGCAAAGCTCTCATCAAGGCAAAGGGTGGCTATTTGAAGAATCTCAAATATAAAATATATTTTGATTTGTTTAACACGTTTTTGGTTACTACATGATTCCATGTGTTATTTCATAGTTTTGATGTCTTCACTATTATTCTACAATGTACAAAATAAAAATCCTTGAATGAGTAGGTGTGTCCAAACTTTCGACCTGTAGTGTACATGCATATTGATGCCACACACATTGCTTCACTCTCTTCACATACGCTGCTGCTACTCTCTGTTTATTATCGATGCATAGTCACTTTACTGCTACCTTCATGTACATATTACCTCAATTACATTGACTAACCTGTACCCTGCACATTGACTCTGTACCAGTGCTGTGTTAAAACGGGTTTAAACAGTGTACAGTAAGTGTGTATTTTGCATTTGTTCAAATTATTTTGATGTGATTTGAAAATAGAGGGATTTATGTTTCTAGAACCGTACTGCAATTGAGAATCGATTCACGTTTTAGATTAGTATTTGGCTTTTTTGGCTTCCAGAGCCAATTCGACCTTCAAGCAGAACATGTAAGGTCCTTGGACTAAGGTGGAACATTAATCTCCTTTAGTCCATTATTGAGCTAGTTATTTCTGATTGTATGTGCCTTTTGAGTTGATTGTAAAGTCTTCCTGTTTTTCAGAGTTTCCTGGGTGGTTTATTTGGTCCTGTGTGTGAAATTGATGTCCTACTCAATGATGCAGAGACTAGGAAGACAGCAGAACTCAAGACAGAGGATGGGAAAGTGGAGAAGAACTATCTGTTTTATGACGGAGAATCTGTCTCTGGGAAGGTGAGCATTGCACACACAAACACACACCAGGGTTTCCATTTTCAAACATTTGCCAAAATGCAATTTGCGGGAAAAAGGGATAACACCATTCTAAGCAGGACACCTGAAGCAAGCGGTATATGACAGAAATTAAAATCTCAGTTAGAAACTTAGAAAGAAGGTGAATCTAAAGATGCAACAACTAGGATGCTAATATGACTAGGATTGTGCATTTGGCTTCTGTACAATGAAAGAAAGTTAATATGAAAACCAATATAACAGGAGAGAAATGGCAAAAGATCTAGCTGATTATTGAGTTGCGGCTGTCAGTGAAAAGCATTAAAAATATGTGTGAAGATGTGTCTTGAGTATAATTTTTAAATGTTGAGACAAGAAGAAGGGGACGGGCAAAGTTACCTATAAGCGTGTCTCTCCAGAATGCATGCGCTCAGCTCTCCAGAATCCACTCAGCTGTCACCAGCCAATTCTTGCGCATTCATTGTGAGTTGTTTGTTCTTTGACTGTTTATTTTGATCAATTCCCCATTCCATAGTAATTCACTGTTCTCATTCTCGGAGAGAAACGTTGTTTGCAGAGTTCACAACCTTCTACACTTGTGAGAAACAAGTTTTGGTTGATTTCAGAACCATAATTTACAAGTATACATTTTCTAATTGTCTTTTGTTTGGAGTGCTCCATGTGAGCAATGAGCAATGGTTTCTCTATCTTGTTAATGCTGAGGGAGCGCGCACTCATAGAAGTAGCCTACCTGGCCTGCTGCGCGAAAAATCTAGGAAAGTGCCCATTTGGGGATGTTTGATTTCTGATTGTCTTAGTCACCACGTCCACCACTAATAAGCTGAGCTTCTCAGTCTGTTTTTTTAACATCCATTGTGAATGGTAGTTTCTCACAGTAGGCCTATTAGGCTATTTGAAAAGGTATTACAACAATCTCCCACTCGATAATCACCAAGCCTTGGTGTGAAAGAGAAAAATATAATCACCTGATATCATATATTCAGTGTAAACGTAATAAAATACCTTTCCCTTGGGCAAAAATAGCTGTCTGTCCCGAGCTCACTGGCGTCGGAAACTCTGAGGGCCCGGAATAGGCTAGTTTATTGATTTGATACGTTGCACTTCATTAGCGACAGCTCAAGACAGATAGTAAGGGAGGCAGACAGGCTGAGTAGAAAGATGAATGTGATTGAAAGAAGCAGAAATTTCATCAGTATATTTTCTACTGTTTTTATTTGTGTTCTTTATGTATTTTTACTTAATTGCCAATGGAAGTTATGGGCCAACAGCTGCATTGGCCATCTCTGGGCTCCATGCTCTCGTTTAGGCTATTTAGCCGCCAATGATCACGGTGTAGCCTATCAATGTGTCCATATGGCATAGGCTGGTGCTCTCGCAGTAGTTTAATTTGAACTTTTATATTTTTCTAATTTTAATTATGATTTTTGACAAACCACGTGACAATGATTTTGAGAAACAAAAACGTTAATATTGAAATGAAACAGTTTCACGAAAATGCACATATGAAAATCATAACTGACAAGCAGATCGGTCTGATAAATTGTATGCTTCCTCAAACTTGAAACTCACATGCCACCTAAGAAGTCTTTAAAAAAGAATTGCCTCCACCTTTCTATGGTTGGATTTTCAAGCAAGGTAAGACATGCCTCATAATATGAAGTAAAACATTCAGGTTTCAAACAATGAAGTATGTTTTCAACGTGAATACTGCCTCCAGCTCACATTTTAAGGTGGTGGGTGACGCGCTGATAGCCTGCCTACCTATAGTTTTTCTTTGTTTTTTACGGCCAAAAGCCGGCAATTACCGGCTAACGGAAACCCTGACACACACACACACACACGTGATATGACATTATGAAGGCGATCAATACTGTGCACCTGACTGCTTCGTATGTCAATGTGTCCTTTGCCAATTAATGATGTGCAGTTTGCGAACAATTCATTCTTTTTCAACTACTCTTTTTACTGACTTGAGAGTAAAGATATGTTTTTCTGAGTGATTCGTTTGATCTGCTGGCTGCAATGAGTCCTACAGCAGGATTGTTACATGCTCAGCGGCTCCAGAGACGCGCTCCGACCAACAACTGTCTGTCGTATATGCACGCAGGGAAATGGATCAGGCAGCATAGAGAAGAAAAAGACAACTTTAGAACTGATTATTGATCGCATGGTGCAATAATTAATTCAATTAGATTTTTGAATGTTATGATGAACACAGCTTTATAGAACCAACACATGCACAGCCTCTGCTCAACAAACTCAAACTCCAGAACAAATAGTTTGGGGGGGGCTGCAGTTTGCAAACGATATTGTGCTTATCACGCTCACGGCAGTCAAGCAATGCATTCTGCCAAGAGTCGTTCACGATCTAGTCCGGTTGCGGCCACAACTAGACCTAATTTCAAATGTATTAAGAAATAATCTTATTTGTATGCCTACCAATCAACAAATGTATGCTTAACAAAGATATAAACGCAACATGTGAAGTGTTGCTCCCATGAGCTGAAATAAAATATCCCAGAAATTTTCCATATGCACAAAAAGCTTATTTATCTCAAATTTTTGCACAAATTTGTTTACATCCCTGTTAGTGAGCATTTCTCATTTGCCAAGATAATCCATTCACCTGACCGATGTGGCATATCAAGAAGCTGATTAAACAGCATGATCATTACACAGGTGCACCTTGTGCTGGGGACAAAAGGCCACTCTAAAATGTGCAGTTTTGTCACACAACACATTTACATTACATTTACATTTTAGTCATTTAGCAGACGCTCTTATCCAGAGCGACTTACAGGAGCAATTAGGGTTAAGTGCCTTGCTCAAGGGCACATTTACGTCATTTAGCAGACGCTCTTATCCAGAGCGACTCACAAATTGGTGCATTCACCCTATAGCCAGTGGGATAACCACTTTACAATTTTTTTTGGGGGGGGGGGGGGGGGGGGGTAGAAGGATTACTTTATCCTATCCCAGGTATTCCTTAAAGAGGTGGGGTTTCAAATGTCTCCGGAAGGTGGTGAGTGACTCCGCTGTCCTGGCGTCGTGAGGGAGCTTGTTCCACCATTGGGGTGCCAGAGCAGCGAACAGTTTTGACTGGGCTGAGCGGGAACTATGCTTCCGCAGAGGAAGGGGAGCCAGCAGGCCAGAGGTGGATGAACGCAATGCCCTCGTTTGGGTGTAGGGACTGATCAGAGCCCGAAGGTACAGAGGTGCCGTTCCCCTCACTGCTCCATAGGCAAGCACCATGGTCTTGTAACGGATGCGAGCTTCAACTGGAAGCCAGTGGAGTGTGCGGAGGAGGGGGGTGACGTGAGAGAACTTGGGAAGGTTGAACACCAGACGGGCTGCGGCATTCTGGATGAGTTGTAGGGGTTTAATGGCACAGGCAGGGAGGCCAGCCAACAGCGAGTTGCAGTAATCCAGACGGGAGATGACAAGTGCCTGGATTAGGACCTGTGCCGCTTCCTGTGTAAGGCAGGGTCGTACTCTCCGAATGTTGTAGAGCATGAACCTGCAGGAGCGGGTCACCGCCTTGATGTTAGCGGAGAACGACAGGGTGTTGTCCAGGGTCGCGCCAAGGCTCTTCGCACTCTGGGAGGAGGACACAACGGAGTTGTCAACCGTGATGGCGAGATCATGGAACGGGCAGTCCTTCCCCGGGAGGAAGAGCAGCTCCGTCTTGCCAGGGTTCAGCTTGAGGTGGTGATCCGTCATCCATACTGATATGTCTGCCAGACATGCAGAGATGCGATTCGCCACCTGGTTATCAGAAGGGGGAAAGGAGAAGATTAGTTGTGTATCGTCAGCGTAGCAATGATAGGAGAGGCCATGTGAGGATATGACAGAGCCAAGTGACTTGGTGTATAGGGAGAAAAGGAGAGGGCCTAGAACTGAGCCCTGGGGGACACCAGTGGTGAGAGCACGTGGTGCGGAGACAGCTTCTCGCCACGCCACTTGGTAGGAGCGACCGGTCAGGTAGGACGCAATCCAGGAGTGAGCCGCGCCGGAGATGCCCAGCTCGGAGAGAGTGGAGAGGAGGATCTGATGGTTCACAGTATCAAAGGCAGCAGACAGGTCTAGAAGGACAAGAGCAGAGGAGAGAGAGTTAGCTTTAGCAGTGCGGAGAGCCTCCGTGACACAGAGAAGAGCAGTCTCAGTTGAATGACCAGTCCTGAAACCTGACTGGTTTGGATCAAGAAGGTAATTCTGAGAGAGATAGCAAGAGAGTTGGCTAAAGACGGCACGCTCAATAGTTTTGGAAAGAAAAGAAAGAAGGGATACTGGTCTGTAGTTGTTGACATCAGTGGGATCGAGTGTTGGTTTTTTGAGAAGGGGAGCAACTCTCGCTCTCTTGAAGACGGAAGGGACATGGCCAGCGGTCAAGGATGAGTTGATCAGCGAGGTGAGGTAGGGGAGAAGGTCACCGGAGATGGTCTGGAGAAGAGAGGAGGGGATGGGGTCAAGCGGGCAGGTTGTTGGGCAGCCTGCAGTCACAAGTCGCAGGATTTTATCTGGAGAGAGAGGGGAGAAAGAAGTCAAAGCATAGGGTAGGGCAGTGTGAGTAGGACCAGCAGTGTCGTCAGTTTTGACACAGATGACACAGATGTCTCAAGTTTTGAAGGAGCGTGCAATTGGGATACTGACTGCAAGTATGTCCACCAGAGCTATTGCCAGAGATTGTAATGTTAATTTCTCTACCATAAGCCGCATCCAACGTTGTTTTAGAGAATTTGCCAGTACGTCCAATCTGCCTCACAACCGCAGACCACGTGTTACCAAGCCAGGACCTCCACATCCGGCTTCTTCACCTGCAGGATTGTCTGAGACCAACCTCCCGGACAGCTGATGAAACTGAGGAGTATTTCTGACTGTAATAAAGCCCTTTTGTGGCGAGAAACTCATTCTGATTGGCTGGGCCTGGCTCCCCAGTGGGTGGACCTGGCTCCCATGTGGGTGGGCCTATGCCCTCCCAGGCCCACCCATGGCTGCGCCCTTGCCCAGTCATGTGAAATCCATAGATTAGAGCCTAATGAATTTATTTCAATTGACTGATTTCCTTATATGAACTGTAACTCAGTAAAATTGTTCAAATTGTTGCATGTTGCTTTTATGTTTTTGTTCAGTATACATTGTTTAAAGCCCGCTTTTACAAGCCTCAGACACAAATGATAGCTCCAGTAAGCCCCCTATGGTGAACGACGTGAAGGAGAGGCTTGTAGAATCATGACTTGAGTTTTCAGTTTATTGTTCGCCGGTAGGGGGTCCTGCATGCTCTGACTCAAATTAACGAAATTAGTCGAAAGATTTGTTATTTTGACTGAACGAGTCGAAAAGATCTGAGACAGTAAAAAGAGCCGAACTTCCCATCACTAATGCCAATACCCTATAACTTTTTTGTGTTTTCTTTTAAGGTGAATCTCAATGTGAGGCAGACAGGCAAGAGACTAGAACACCAAGGGATTCGAATTGAGTTTGTTGGGCAGATTGGTGAGTTTGTGTACATTTCTATTTTGATATTATAACCTTACAGCAGCGCACCACCTCAAACACCAGCCATGCATTGTTTATTGGTTTACAAACCAAGTGCACCGTCGGTCTCATTTAGGCTAAAAGGCTTAGCAAAGCATGTGCTTGTCATGTGAAAACTGCAGTGGACCACACTCAACACCACACACCCTGGCCTGGTGGCAAAGTGTTTCTGTGAGGACTCCTTGACCATTACTGAGGGTTCAATGCTGTCAAACCGACTGAGGAAGTTTGGGGAAGCCTTCAAATAAAATAACACACAAGTTTAAATCTGAATACAGGACAATCTAGGTTATTCGATTCAGGCCTACTTCCCTATTTATACGGTTGTTGAAATTAATGCGTCCCTAAGTACAATGGATTTACCTATTGGAAATGTTAGGTTCCTGTGTGTGGTGATGTGATGAACCTAACAAGTGTTTAAACTTGTGCTCTATGTCTTTCAGAGCTTTTCAGTGATAAAAGCAACACGCATGAGTTTGTGAACCTGGTAAAGGAGCTTGCCCTGCCAGGGGAGTTGACTCAGAACCGAAGCTACGACTTTGAGTTCATGCAGGTGGAGAAGCCATATGAGTCTTACGTTGGAGCCAACGTCCGACTAAGGTTAGCTCACAATATTCTCTCATACCCAGATATTCTCTGCATTGTCCCTGGAACCAACCATTCTATTCTATACAGCTTGAGATGATCAGTGAAACTGCATTAGATGGCTTTTTGTCATTGCTACATCTGCCTTGTTATGAATATAAGCACTGTGTCATTTGAAGTGAATTTGCATTGTAAGCCATCCATAACTCCTATTGTTACTTCCTACAGATATTTCCTCAAAGTGACAATAGTGAGGAGACTGTCTGATCTGGTGAAAGAGTATGACCTCATTGTCCATCAGCTGGCCACTTACCCTGATGTGAACAATTCCATCAAGATGGAAGTTGGCATTGAAGACTGTCTACATATAGAGTTTGAATACAACAAGTCCAAGTAAGATGTGTACCATGATAAGACATTCATGCATTCAAACCACTTTTAAAAAGCATAGCATAGTAGCACTTTCACGTGTCAAAATCCGTATCAGATTCAGAACTTACTGTATATAAATTAAACTTAATTTTGACCTGACCCTAATCTGTCTTCTCAGGTACCACTTGAAAGATGTCATTGTGGGTAAAATCTACTTCCTTCTTGTGAGAATCAAAATCCAGCACATGGAACTTCAGTTGATCAAGAAGGAGATGACTGGAATAGGTGAGATGAGGCTTACTTGAAGAGAGAGTTCACTTAAACGGCGTAAGGTGTTGCTCTTTTTTTAATGATATACATTTTATTTTAAATGATTGAATTCCAGATTTTTCAAATGATGTGAAAATCTAAAACTGGCCCTGTAATCTTGGCTTTTGTTTTAAGAACATTGTGAAGTTGATGTATTTGGTCATGTGAAATTCCTTCCCAGGGCCTAGCACAACTACTGAGATGGAGACTGTTGCCAAGTATGAGATTATGGATGGAGCCCCTGTGAAAGGTAGGCACAATATGGTGTTGGTCTGAATGTCCCAATATTATTTCATTTTATCTATTTTATTTTATGTTATTCCACCCCACCAAAGCAGCATAATGTTTTCAGGACTTGTAGTGTACATGTAAATCTGTCTCTTCTTGCCATTACCATTTAACTTGTTTCACAATCCTCTTCATGCGTGTTCTTTCTCTCTTAGGAGAGTCTATTCCCATCCGTCTATTTCTGGCTGGCTACGACCTCACAGCCACCATGAGGGATGTCAACAAGAAGTTCTCTGTGCGGTACTTCCTCAACCTGGTGCTGGTGGATGAGGAGGACAGGAGATACTTCAAACAACAGGTACAGAACCTGAAAGCCAACCGCCATTTACCTGTCTGTCGTTTTTGTTCGAAGACTAAATACACTGAGTGTACAAAACATTAAGAACACCTTCTGAATATTGAGTTGCACCCCCCCCCTTTTGCCCTCAGAACAGCCTCAATTTGTCGGTGCATGGGTTCTACAAGATGTCAAAAGCGTTCCGCAGGAATGCTAGCCAATGTTGACTCCAATGCTTCCCACAGTTGTGTCAAGTTGGCTGGATGTCTTTTGGGTGGTGGACCATTTTTGATACATACAGGAAACTGTTGAGCATGAAAAACCCTGCAGCGTTGCAGTTCTTGACACAAACTGGTGCGCTTGGCACCTACTACCATACCCCGCACTTAAATATTTTGTCTTGCCCATTCATCCTCTGAATGGCACACATACACAATCCATGTCTCAATTGTCTCTAGGCTTAAAAATCCTTCTTTAACCTGTCTCCTCTCCTTCATCTACACTGATTTGAAGTGGATTTAAAAAGTGACATCAATAAGGGATCATAGCTTTCACCTGGTCAGTCTGTCATGGAAAGAGCAGGTGTTCTTCATGTTTTGTACACTCAGTGCATTTCTGTGGCAGAAACATTACAGTAGTTAAATATTACAGTAGTTTGAACTCAAAACGAGGAATTAGGCTTATATTATTATTATTATTATTATTATTATTATTATTATTATTGAAAGCAATCATCTTCTCTCAATATGAACATTTTAGAATAACTTAAGAGGGGATAAATCTGACTCTTGTTGATTGTCTCTATTACCAGGAGATTGTTCTGTGGAGGAAAGCTCCTGAGAAAATAAGGAAACGGAACTTCCACCAACGCTACGAGTCTCCTGAGCCACGGCCGACCCTTACTGCTGAGCAACCCGAAATGTGAAGACCACTGGAAACAGAAAATGCTGAGAATGATTCTGATTATGCTTAAAGTAAATAAGGAGAGGGGTGCAGACAGCCATTTAATACAAGTACCTTCTGCAAGGTTACAGTCTCTTACTGCTACACCTGAATGGGCTGGGTCTACTCTGCTGGCCACAGCAAGCACTCTTGTTAGCTTACTGTATGGACTCGTCTCTTTGACACACAATAGAAAGCACTGGAATGGGAGCCACCATTTCTTTTATATTGCAAAAAGATTTGACCTACCCTTCCTGTAAAAGATGCACTTGGTTAGGCTCAACACTGGGGACATGGCATACAATCATACACTACTAGATATTTCAAAGGACATTCCAGTACATGTAAGCAGGTCAAATTGAATATGATGGGTTAATGTCGTGTTCAACGCTGGCTGTGGGGTCAGTTTCCAAGGTCAAGCTCTAAGACAATAGGCATTCTTTGAGCTCAAAGGGTGCCATGTTTATAATTCACTGAAATGGTGTGAGCTCCAAAAGTATTGGAACAGTGCATTTTTTGTTGTTGTTTTGGCTCTTTACGCCAGCACTTTGGATTTGAAATGATACAGTGACTATGAGGTTAAAGTACAGGCTGTCAGTTTTAATTTGAGGGTATTTTTATCCATAGTGGGTGAACCGTTTAGAAATTACAGCACAGTTGTACATACTTATATATGTAGTCAAAAGTTTAGTATTTGGTCCCTTATTTCTAGCAGATTATGTTGTGCCCTATAGAAATGAATGGTAAATAATGTATTGTGTCATTTTGGAGTCACTTTTATTGTAAATAAGAATAGAATATGTTTTTAAACACTTCTACATGAATGTGGATGCTACCATGATAACGGATAGTCCTGAATGAATCGTGAAGACAAAAATCATACCCCCCCCAAAAATGCTAACCTCCCCTGTTATGCTAACCTCTCACCATTACAATAAAAGGGGAGGTTAGCATTTTTTGGGGGGTATGATTTTTGTGTGTCTAACTTTCTCATTCATCATTATTCACGATTCATTCAGGACTATCCGTAATCATGGTAGCATCCACATTCATGTAGAAGTGTTTGAAAACATTATATTCTTATTTACAATAAAAGGGACTCCAAAATGACACAATACATTATTTACCATTCACTTCTATAGGGCACAACATAATCTGAAACACAACCAAAACAAACAGCAAATGCATCCAACAAGTTTGTAGAGTCACAAGCTTGATGTAATCATTGCGTGCTAGGAATATGGGACCAAATACTGAACTTTTGACTACTTTAATACACATAAGTGAATTTGGCCCAATACATTTAGTCCCCCCATTTTAGGGGACCATGTACAAAAAGTGCTGTAATTTCTAAACAGTTCACCTGATATGGATGAAAATACCATCAAATTATAGCACTTTAACCTCAGTCATTGTATAATTTCAGATCCAAAGTGCTGGAGTACAGAGCCAAAACAACAACAAATGTGTCACTGTCCCAATACTTTTGGAGCCCACTGTATGTAAAAGATTTCTATCTCCTAAGTTATTTAATATAGAACCTGTAGTTTCATACTTTTTTCATTTCACTTCACTTTTTCTTGTATTTTGCGCTTTTCTTTTTCGAAATACAAATATACTGTATATGAATAACGGCTTTTGCTAGTGGCATTGGATTGAGGCACTACAAAATGCTGTTTAAATAAAATTATTTTGATCATCAACGGTTAGGTCCTACATGTATATCTGTATGTCATGCTTGATGATGGTTGAATGGGTACTTACATTTGTTTTGTTTTTGTCTATATTTAGTGCCAATTTACATAATTTCTATAAGGATACATATTTAAGCTCAGATGGGGCTGTGCTACAATCCTGTAACAATGTTGTGTTATGTCTTCATTTCTGAACACTATACAGGCAATATTTTCTTTGTTAAGTGCCTGTAAGGTCATGAAGAAACTGTTATGCCAAATACTGCCCAAACTTACCACTGCATGTTCACCACATTTTATACTGTGTTCAATATGTATCTGACTTATGTGTGGACATTGAACATTTGTATATATCAAGCCTCAGTCTATATCCATCCATCATCAATTAAATGAAATGAAAATGTATACTTATGTATTGCAGTGATGATATCTTTAATACTTTCTCTAATGACTTATTTCAAAGATGATATCATGCTGTTTACCATTGAAAGAAATGGTCACAGTTCCGGTCTAGTTAAGGGGTGGCTCTCCCATAGACACCAATGCGATAGCAGCTGGGTCTGGTCTACTTACATAGTTAATTGACTGTATATCACGTGTCAAACTCATTCCACGGAGGGCCGAGTGTCTGTGGGTTTTTGTTCCACCCTTATAATTGATTGCTGAATTAAGGTTACTAATTAGTAAGGAACTCCCCTCACCTGGTTGTCTTAATTTAAATGAAAACCAAAAACCTGCAGATACTCGGCCCTACGTGGAATGAGTTTGACACCCCTGCTGAATATGAACTAGAAAAAAAAGAGGGAGTGGAATGTCTTGCTTCCTGTTCCGTCTCTGCTTATATTAGCGTTTCCAGTTGGTCCCTGCTATCCGGGATCATTAGGACGTCCCTACTCCATTGATGTTTAAATGTAAAATGGTTGAAGTTAGGTAAGGGTTATGGTTAGGGTAGTATCGTGTTGCCATACCTCCTAAATCAAGTCAGGTGAACCAGTATCTGCGTTAGTAGTAATGGGCATTCTGAGTCTTTTGGGTGAGCTGGCTCATTTGGCACCGTTCACGTAAAAGAGACGGCTCATTTGGCCCCCTAAAGGCTCTTCATTCAAAATGCTTAAAAATCGACATACAACCATGAAACATTTGTATATCTCCAATTTAACGCCCAAAAGGTAGGCTACCATTATGTCAGATGGTAAAATGCCAGTCCAAATAAATGTTTACCTGGCCAAGTTATTAGAAGGCCTGCAAAAAAATATATATTTTTTTTCACACTGAAAAAATCATTGTGGACCAGATTGACACACTCTCCCCACTATTTATTGTTTCTGCAGTGAGGATTCATCCTCTTTAGATAATTATTTTTGTATACTTTTCCATACTGCTACTACCATAGCCGCGGGAAGTAGGGGTGCGGAGGGTGCTGACAAGTATTTCCCCCCCTCATACAGGAGCACTAAAGGCCTAGTTTCATATTTTTTGTTTGTTTATTTATCAGTGGGTGCTGCAGAACCCTCAGCACCCCTACTTCCCATGGCTATGGTAGCAGCAGTTTGCAAATCAGGGAGCCAAATGAAAGGCTCTTTCACTGATGTGATTCAGTTTGCAATGTTCACCAAAAAGATCAGTTCAAAAAGTGCTGTTCGTTCACGAACGACTCATCACTATGGGTTAGGTTTTAATGTCTATGGTTAGAGACCTCTAACTCCCAGAAAGCTCAGATGATTCCAACTCCCATTCACCAGCTCCGCAAGCGTTAGAATGTCAAAATAAGTTTGATCACCAAACATGGAGTTTCGCTGAGCAACTATCTTCATTTACTCCCTTTAAGGGCAGTATGTACTTCCAAAAAATGTCAAAATTAAAATTTACAAGAAACCGAAAAAAAAATCATATTCGGCACCTCCAAGGTATAACGCTTGCAGAGATGGTGAATGGGAGTTTGAACCAGAGCTTTATGGGCGTTAGAGGTCTAATGCACAGATACTGGTTAAGGGTAGGGATGTCCCATGGATTCTGGATAGCATTTACATTTTCAATCCTGGTCCTACTTACAAGCTGGTTATATGCATTATATGGATTTAGCTGGTTATATGCATTCTAATAAAAATGTATCACAATATGGTGTGCCACTGATCACACTCAAATGCTGAGTCATAGTAGGTATTCTATTTTCGTGATTGAAATTTTCATTTGCAGCTAACATTTGTTCAGAGAGTTTCTAAACCCAGAGGCAGAACATCTCGAGACTTCCGGAACGCTTACGAAACAGATCTAGCCGGGGTTTGGGTTTTGAGAAGTCAATGAGAGAAGTGAACAATTCTTCATTAGTTGTTAATTTTCTCGAAATCTAAAGGCACAGCCTAGATTCGAGCCAATGTCTTAAGTAGTTGAACATGTTATTACTGGAACCTAGTGAAATTGACAAACTGACACATTTTAATTTTCGTCAAAAATAAGTTTATATCGAAGGAGTGCCTTTGATTTGACGGCTTGCACATGCGCAGTTTGGCGCCAGACGACCTTTAGACCCGATTACGTGTTGTTGCGCATGAGTTTAGCTAGCCAACGTCACAATGGCATCGCCTACAAGTGTTTTCGGAAATTTATATTGGAGAAGCAGTTTCTGCCTATCTTCATACTGTACTGTCTTTCATTTGTTTTCAGGTTTAAAGCAATACGTACTTTGACCTTTGCGGGTTCCGTTTGGTTTGTGGAATCTATGCACCACTTACGTGCCAGAAGTATTAACAGTAGACTTGTGCTGCCATTATAAATGTATTATTTTAAAGTATCATAAAGTAATTTCTATAGAAACAATTAGTATATTTTCTAACTAAAGCACCGCATTTTGTGAATTAATATAATAAACAAATCGCTACAGGCATATTTCTGGACTGCAATGCAAACAAGGGTCCTCCTGCACGTTGTATCGCGGATGAAGCCGATGTTGACCGTCCTCTGCTGCAATACTGTGCAAAGTGTTACCAGCCAGGGAAAGATTGTGATAAACTGCAAAATGGGACATTGAAAAGTGTTTATTGACACAAACCAGACAAGGCAACATAATTGCAGACTATATCTAGCAACCAAGAATGTCAGTAAACCGCTGTATTCTTCTGTTCTCACGAGTACAACACAGAATATGCGCCGTATCTGTACGAAACACAAATGCTCTGGTGGACAGTCGTTGTGTACACTTTGGATCTGTAACGTTATTGAAAGGGCCCTTGTCTGGTTCTGTGTCCTCCAGACAAGGTGTTTCTTCGAACAGTTCGTCACGACCACCAGACACCTCACTATTTGTGCCTCTCAGCATCAAGAGTGATGTCGGCGGTAATGGCGCTGTGGGAGCTGAGCTCACGCAACCTTTGGACAAAAGTACTGTACATCCATATTGTTGTGCTAACTGTTAATGTTGATTGCCAACTACACAGATTAGCTGTCAGTATATCTGCAGCTGACTGCTACTGAACTGTTGATGATATCTTCCACATAGCCTGTTGAAGACAGCTAGCCATTGGCCCTGAGACATGGCTGTATTCTAACTGTATACTATGGAGTCTACAGCCATGTCTCAGTCATGGCTAGATAAAAGGCCAAGTTCCCTGTCAATAGATATTTTGAAACTTGTTCGCTGTGACTCGCTTTCTGTAATGTTTAGCCTATAGCTTCAATAATAAGCCTACTGTATGGCAATTTTATCAGACACGTGGTTTCTCCTAACAGATGAACTTCTCAACATTTTGAATAAGTTCTACAAAAGGAAAGAGATGCAAAAAATTGCAGCGGATCAAGGTCTCGATGGTGAGAACAACATAATAATTTCAACTGGCTGGCATAACGGTCTGGTACTCTTTATCAAATATATTTTTAGTGATGATACTTCTCCAACATGCCTTATGGTCATACTAAAACATTGATCTCTCCATGTCAGCTCGTCTCTTTCACCAAGCCTTCATCAGTTTTCGGAAGTATGTGCTGGAAATCTCTACGCTCAGTGCGGACCTTCATATCATCCTCAATGACATATGCTGTGGAGCAGGTGAGTTCAACACTGTGCTTATATTTAAGGAATCAGGTGATTAAAAGCAACTGCAAGTTGGAACTTAATTCCAACCCCTCACACCCTGTCAACTGATGAGTGTTTTTGCTTGTGCTCATCAGGCCACATAGATGACCTTTATCCTTACTTCATGAGACATGCCAAGCAGATATTCCCCATGCTGGACTGCATGGAAGATCTACGCAAAATCAGTGATCTGCGTGTACCAGCTAATTGGTAAGTATCGCATGTCATCTTTAGGTGACCGCAACATTATACACATTTTTCATTAACATTTTGAAAATGCTCTTCCATTCATTGTATCCATTTTATATATATAGTTCCGTGTTCACACAATACTCCACACAACTGTCTTTCAGCCATGCACTTGAATGTTTCCCAGGTACCCTGAGGCTAGAGCCATCCAGAGGAAGGTGATATTCCATGCTGGCCCCACCAACAGTGGAAAGACCCATCATGCAATTCAGAGATACCTGGCTGCCAAGTCTGGTGTCTACTGTGGACCGCTGAAGCTGTTAGCCCACGAGATCTTTGAAAAGAGCAACAATGCTGTTAGTATAACCCCTCTTTCACTAGTATACCTCTCCATAGAGAGAATACGTCATTTAGAAGGCTTTTTGTGTACTTTAGCAAATGGGCAATTCCACGCTAATGGAATTATGCTGAGACTCAGATGTTTTACTTTAAAATGCCAAACAAAAACCATTGATTTCAATGTTTACCAAACCATACAACTCTATGGTTTAAACAATTTACACAATACATAAAAAATATATAAACAACTGCAGATGCAAAGTTTTATGGTAAAATCTCTGTAAATGTGTTTTTGTTAAATTTTCAGTGGAAATTGTTAAAATTAGGCCTTGTGCATAGAGTTATATGGTTTGTTAAACTTTGAAATCAATTTTTTATTTTTGGTATACATTTTAAAGTGAAAAATATGAGTCTCAACGTAATTCAGTTACCATGGAATTTCCCTTTTACCTTGAAACAATTGAAGTAAAATTAGTTTATCTAAGCATTTCTTACCAACATTTCCAAAATGTTTAAATTAATTCTCAGAGCACTATGTCGAAGGAAGACGTTAAATGAACTTTTTTCCGCCAGGGTGTGCCATGTGATTTGGTGACAGGAGAGGAGAGAACATTTGTGGATGAGGAGGGGAGACAAGCTGAGCATGTGGCCTGCACTATTGAGATGTGCAGTGTCACAACTCCATGTCAGTATCTTACCTTATCTCTCAACTTGATAAACATATTTAATGTACATGAGATGATTTTATCACTACCATTCAAGTTAAAGGTGTCAAACACATTTTCCACTGGGGGCTGCATCCGGTCTTCAACGAGGTCCAGAGGGCTGCACTGAAAATTGGTTATATTTCCACGCTGTCAAAATGTGCCAAAAATAGTCCTCTATCTATTGTTTTGGGGATTTCCGATGCTCCCTGACTGTCTAGCTTTCATTTCGGTGATTATTAGCAAGCTGGACCCAGTCAAGAAACTATGAATGTAGGTCCATTATCATTTCAATACAGTTTCGATTTGGTTTTAGTCATTTTAAAGTATGCCGTATGTTTGATTGCCCTGATTTAAGTATTCGATTCATGTTCTGATAGAGCTAGATTGCATTTGACGTTTCTTATCACCATCTGAGTGTTAACTAACATGTGAAACGTGTTTTTTTCCAGATGAAGTTGCGGTCATTGATGAGATCCAGATGATCAGAGACATATCGAGGGGATGGGCCTGGACCAGGGCTCTTCTCGGTCAGTAACTTCACTGTGACAGTTAGGACAAACTACAGGCCATTGGAAGATCACAAATTCTGAATATTTAGTTGCACTTTGTTATGGTACATAAATTACCAGCTATTTATTAAGTCAATAATGATATGGCAAAATGATGATTTCACAATAATAACTAATGGATTGTTCTTTTTCCTCTTTCCCTCTTATGCTTTACTCTGTGTCCGGGAATAGGTTTGTGTGCTGAGGAGATCCATGTGTGCGGAGAGCCTGCAGCTATTAACTTTGTCACAGAGCTCATGTACACGACAGGGGAGGAGGTGGAGGTGAGTCTGGCCAATCTAGTGAACATTAGTGTGTTTGTCTTCTAAGACTGTTCCAGTCATTTGGGTAGAGGCCTGGCATGTCATTAACATGATTATACTGAATATCAACGGTCTCATCCTATGAGAATAAACACTCAGGCTTCTAGACCGGCACCCAAAAAATACTTGTGATGTGAAGTGTCTTACAGTTGACCCAATCTACTGGCAGGTTCGTAACTATAAGAGGCTCACTCCTTTCTCAATCTTGGACCATGCTGTGGAGTCTCTGGATAACCTGCGACCAGGCGACTGCATCGTATGCTTCAGCAAAAACGATATTTACTCCATCAGTAGGCAGATCGAGATCAGAGGCCTGGAGTGTGCGGTCATCTACGGCAGCCTTCCACCTGGTAAGGTTGTTTTTAGATGTCCACAGAGCACAGTGATTGAGGTGATGGAGAGTTAGAATGGTGTGAAAAATGTAAAATACGGACATTCAACTTGTTCAGGTGCTGGACGGAAAAACAAATATCTGATATACTACCGCTGTGACATTACTCAATCCTTACATTTATAATAGTGTGTATCATTAAAGCACTGTGAATTCTCTGGTCAACAGGCACCAAGCTATCTCAAGCAAAGAAGTTCAATGACCCAGAGGACCCGTGTAAGATCCTGGTTGCAACGGATGCCATAGGGATGGGACTAAACCTGTGAGTTAACCATTGAAACTGATCTTGTTAGCATATTGTTGAAGTTTATTGTTTAATTTTAATTTATCATTGACAATCCATATTACTTTTGAAGTACATTGTTCTAAAGATTGTCATAAAAATACTAAACAAAAAAAACATACACATTTCTTGCATGTTTAGTTGATTTTTTGTTTGCTGTAAAGTTGTAGTTGTTGCCTCTATAAGCACTCTACCATATCCCTTCCACACTAGGAGTATCAAGAGAATCATCTTTAACTCCCTGGTGAAACCCAACATCAATGAGAAGGGTGAGAAGGAGATGGACACCATCTCCACGTCTCAGGCTCTCCAGATCGGCGGGCGGGCCGGACGCTTCAGCTCCATCTTCAAAGAGGGCGAGGTCACCACCATGCACCGCGACGACCTGCCAATCCTCAAGGAGATACTCAGCAGGACCGTCGACGCCATCGAGGTGAGGAACAGCACATGGGCCATTTCTGAATTTTGCCCTTCTGTTCGGACTATTCAATATCCTTTATTTAATTTAATGACAATCAAGTATGACATGATGTTTGTTTCCTAATCCTAGACAGCTGGGCTGCACCCCACAGCAGAGCAGATTGAAATGTTTGCCTACCACTTACCTGATGCCACCTTGTCCAATCTGATAGTACGTTTCTTTACTTCATTACAATTTACTCTGTAACGAGAATCAAGATTTACGGTTAGTCAATTCACAGATGAATATAGAATAATTTGTGTTCATTTAAAAGTAACCCATTTTCTTTTTACCCTAAGGATATATTTGTGAGCCTCTCGCAAGTTGATGGTATGTACTTTGTGTGCAACATTGACGACTTCAAGTTCCTGGCTGACATGATCCAGCACATTCCCCTCAACCTGCGCTGTCGATATGTGTTCTGCACTGCGCCCATCAACAAGAAGCAGCCCTTTGTGTGCACCTCCTTCCTGAAGGTAGGAGCAGAGACATGTTTACAGCAGAATCCCTTTCCCATTAGCAACACTGGTTTAAACATCTGGGCCCGCATTCACAAAATATGAGTAGGAGTGCTGACATAGGATCAGCATTGCCTTTTAGATCATTATGAATAAGATTGTATGGACAGGGGGAACATGATCCTAGATCAGCACTACTACTCTGAGACACTTTGTGAATACAGACTTTAACCTCTGACTGAATTTGACTGGTTAACACCCTAATTTCATGTCATTCAGGGATAGGTCCACCTTTTGGATTCATATTATGGCATGATGTTGCCAGTTTGCCTCTGATATGAACTGTCTTACTGGAACTATAACAGCATTGATAAGGTTTTATTGTTGGTTGTTGGGCTTTAAGGGACGTGACATGAGTGGTGTTCAGGCAACAGTATTGATAAGATCTGTTGTGGATTGGGTGAATGACACATTACTGTGACTATGGCCTAAGTGTAATCCTATTGATAAGGTTTATAGCACTATGGAATTTGGGTCTGGATGATCAGAGACTGATTGTGTGTGACGTGACCCTCTCCCAATCTATCCATGTCCAGTTTGCCAGACAGTTCAGCAGAGATGAGCCCCTGACCTTTGATTGGGTGTGTCGGCATGTCAGCTGGCCGCTGGTCTCACCCAAGAACATCAAGGACCTGGTGCACCTGGAGGCTGTCCATGACGTGCTAGACCTCTACCTCTGGCTCAGGTGATTCCATCTCTACCTTACCAATACCAAACCATTCACCAAGCCAAATGACCAAATGTTCTTGTGCTAATAGTCGTCACAGAATTGAGTAACACTGTGCATAATGAGGTCATTGATTGTCTTTATTGCAAATAATCTCAATTAGATAGTAATAATCCTCTCTTCACGTTGCCAGCTACCGCTTCATGGACATGTTCCCCGACGCCAATCATGTCAGAGAGATCCAGCAGGAGCTGGACAGCATCATCCAGGTGGGTGTGCGCAACATCACACGACTCATCCGAGCCACGGAGACCAGCGCCCCCTCGGGGACAAACCCCCTGTCCAACCAGAGGAGGCTGGGGCCCAGCCCAGTATCCCCAAGGAGGGTCCGAGGAGCCCCCAAGGCCCAGGACAGTGGAGTAGAGGGTTGGCAGCTGGACAAGTCCCTAAGCTCCCGCCTGGTGCAGGAGGGCTTACTGACTCCTGACCTCCTAAGGCAACTGCAGAAGGAGTGGTCCAAGGTGCACCGCCAAGAGGAAGAAGGAGTCAAACTGGTTGCAGGGAATAATAAAACCAAAGGGAATAAGAAGAAGAAGTGAACGTCCCAGGTTTTGCCTTAGGTCCTAACTAAAACATAGAGGGTTTTGTCTGTTATTTTGACTGGACTTCATACCAGGCGGTGTCATGCATTTTCAGTGGCTGAAGATGTTGATTAATTGTATGTGTACGTATGTATGTGTAGGTCCCAGCTCCTGTCTATATCTGCTCAAAAACAGATAGTCATTTTGTGGGCCAAATGGTGATGTAAAAATCCAAAGTAATATCTTATCTTATTACACAGTCATTTTGCGGTCATCTTTTTATCACTTGAAAAGTAAAATGGTTGACTGCATCTTCACGTAGACAGATGGTCTGTCTCGCGCAGCAAGTAATGACAAGATGTTACACTGTGAGGTAACATTTATTAAGCAACTCTAATATGTGCCCAGCCCATGCTTGGGCTAGCCTACTGTAACTGCCGCAAACTCAAATGTTACCACCACTGATTATATGCCCCTATGTATGATTTAAGGAATTGAAATAGCATAAGTGATAATGTGATTGATTAAAAAAAAGTGTAATCATATTTTTGTTTTGATGAGGCCTTTGTATTAATTTGATGTAAGACATAAGGTGGCAAATGTCTCGGTAATACTTTGACACCTTACTCGTAACGACAATGTTGTAGATCTGTCAAAGAGCTTTATAACATATCAACAATTGTTTAAATGGTTATAAGCTATGTCATGACAGTATTTTCTTGCCTTATGACACTGCGGCAGGTAGCTTAGTGGTTAAGAGAGTTGTGCCAGTAACCGAAAGGTCGCTGGTTCTAATCCCCGAGCCGACTAGGTGAAAAATCTGTCGATGTGCCCTTGAGCAAGGCACTTAACCCTAATTGCTCCTGTAAGTCGCTCTGGATAAGATTGTCTGCTAAATTACTAAAATGTTTTTAAAAATGTAATATAATGCCTTCTTAATTGTGTCATGAACATTTCATAGCCCATGTGACAAAGGTCATGAGACACTTTCAGGCCATGTGCTGCTTTCAAAGCATTCTCTCTGCACTGCGATTAGTTTTAGCCACTTTCAAAACACAACAGCCACTGGGAGTTAGCCTGGTTGATGCGACCCACTTGACTCAGTGCATGGAGAGTTGTGGCCACACTGGTCTGGAAGATAGGCAGTTTGTTAATGCAATATTCTCTCAGAAATTGTGCGAGAGGTTTGATTGATTCACTCAAAAGTATTTTGTGCCTTGGGGGTAGAGACCTGTTGTTGTTTGGATTTGAAAAGGAGGTTGTTGTCCCCCCCCCCTCCCGGCCCCCACCAGGTGGACAGAGGAAAGCCAACCAGCCCCCTTCATTATCAAAGCATTGTGCCGAGTCCGACAACATCAAAGAGACATTCCAGACTCTGAAGTCAGGAGTACTTCGAGAGTTAGGTGTTTGTCAGACTAACTGGGAGTGGGAAAGGGGCCAGAATTTCATTATTTACTAATTTGATACAAAACAATCACAACATTTGTGAACTGATTAAGCTGTTGTTTAAAAGTTTGGATATGATGATAATATTTCAACCTTCTGAATTGTTAGAAATGAACGCAGTGAGCACCCTTAAACTGGGCCTGAAATAACCCTGAATCTTCCAACCAAGGTCCCCATTAGAAAAACATGGGCATGATATATAGATCTAGGGTTCCATTTCTATTGTTGAACCCATCCTATTGCTGAACCCATCCTTGTCTTTTGAATTAGACACAGTAAAAGGCCCCATGGTTCCAAAGGAAAGTGATCTTTGGGACTGAGCCAAGGCATTGCTAGGAGAGACCCAAGAAGTAGACCAGTAAGAGAGAGAGCGAGGGGCTAGACTATTAATTATTGAACCAATGGAAGGGCTGGTTATGGCTTAACTCGCAAAGTCAGGGAGAGGTGGAAAACAACCCACTGAGGGAGGACAAAAAAAACTCATGCCACACTCACATTGGAGCTGAGGGGACAGAGAGCAACAAGCTCAAGGACTGAAACTGGACAACTTCAAGAGAGGAAAACTGTTTATCTATGAAATTGTTCTGATTCAGGTTGTATTGCTTTGAGCAGAGACATTTGTAGTTGCAGGATAGAATTTAAAGGAAACAGAAGTGAAGATGTTTGCGGTGCACTTGCTCTCTTTCTATTTCTCCAAGCTGCAGGAGGACCAAATCAAGAAGGTGAGACATTTCTGATCTGTGTAGTGTTGTATTTGATCAGAATCTTGTTTGTTTTGGTTATGTATACATAGTGTAAGAAGCCTAGTTACTGTAGAAATACAGATTTAGGTTATACTGTAATCATGTCAGTTGTGTGTAATGTATGGGCAGGATTACTTTTTTTGTTAATTTGTATGGGTGATTTGATTTATGTAAGTTGGAAGCAAAGTAAACAAGGTTAGTTGTTTTCCCCAACAACTTGTTTGTGAAATACAGCGCAAGGATGGTTTACAGTTTCTAGAGAGAGAAACATTTGGCTAAAATATTAGTTTGTGGAAATTAAATGATATTTGCTGGAGTTTCCAAATAGGTCATAGCAGTATTTACTGCAGTCTACAGGATCACTGTCAATTTATTTCATTTATGCCTGAACGTGAAATGCCTTTAAGCCTGTTGATGAGGAGGCCCCTCATTCAGGTATGAAATCCTGGCTGGTGTGGTGGCTTAATGGGGCTATATTTATTTCACAATGTTGCTTGAGGAATGATTAACCCTCTTGTTGCATTACTCATTTCCATGGAGAGATAGTAGGGATTGCGAGACAAAGGGGGACCTTGTCCTCTGAAACCATGTTCATTGGAAAGGGATTTGACATCTTTACTGATATACAGTGCATTCGTAAAGTTTTCAGACCCCTTCAGTTTATCCACATTTTGTTACGTTACAGCCTTATTCTAAAATTGGTTAAAAAATATAAAAAATGTGTCATCAATCTATACACAATACCCCATAATGACAAAGCAAAAACAGGTTTTTAGAAGTTTTTGCAAATGTATAAAAAATATAAAACGGAAATGCCTTATTTACATAAGTATTCAGGCCCTTTGCTATGAGACTCGAAATTGAGCTCAGGTGCATCCTGTTTCCATTGATCATCCTTGTGATATTTCTACAACATGGTTGGAGTCCACCTGTGGTAAATTCAATTGATTGAACATGATTTGGAAAGGCACACACCTGTCTATATAAGATTCCACAGTTGACAGTGCATGTCAGAGCAAAAACCAAGCCATGAGGTTGAAGGAATTGTCCGTAGAGGTCTGAGACAGGATTGTGTCTAGGCACAATTCTGGAGGAAACCAGGCACCGCTCATCACCTGGCCAATACCATCCCTACGGTGAACCATGGTGGTGGCAGCATCATGTTGTGGGGATGTTTTTCAGCGGCAGGGACTGGGAGACTAGTCAGGATCGAGGGAGAGATGAGCGGAGCAAAGTACAGAGAGATCCTTGATGAAAACCTGCTCCAAAGCGCTCAGGACCTCAGACTGGGGCGAAGGTTCACCTTCCAACAGGACAATGACCCTAAGCACACAACCAAGACAACGCAGGAGTGGCTTTGGGAAAAGTCTCTGAATGTCCTTGAGTGGCCCAGCCAGAGCCCGGACTTTAACCTGATCGAACATCTCTGGAGAGACCTGAAAATATCTGTGCAGCGACGCTCCCCATCGAACCTGACAGAGCTTGAGAGGATTTGCCCCAAATACAGGTGTGCCAAGCTTGTAGTGTCATACCAAAGAAGACTCAAGGCTGTAATCGCTGCCAAAGGTTCTTCAACAAAGTACTGAGTAAAGGGTCTGAATACTTATTTAAATGTCATATTTCAGTTTATTTTATTTTATACATTTGTAAAAATTTATAAAAACCTGTTTTTGCTTTGTCTTTATCGAGTATTGTTTGTAGATTGATGAGGGGGGAAAAATAATTTAATCCATTTTAGAATAAGGCTGTAACGTAACAAAATGTGGAAAAAGTGAAGGGGTCTGAATACTTTCCGAATGCGCTTTATGTACGTTAACTATGTTTTAATTTCAAGTAGTCAGCTGTGTGGTTGTCATCAGGGGTTGAATCCGTATTCAGGATAAAAACTATCCCCATAATTGATGACTTTGGCATGATATTTTTCAACCAAAATACTGTATTAAATTCCTTGCCCACTGCAACAGTTAAATCCCATGTGTTTTAGCCTCTTTTTGAAGCTCTTTCTTCTCATGCTCTGTATTCAACTGTTTGTTTGGTTTTGTTTGAGGTGTGGATACAGGAAACTAGAAGACAACATTGTACTTTCATATTATTCTGAATCATTCGCACTTGCAAGGCTATTAACTAGACCCCCCCCCCCCCCCCCTCCAGGTGGACAGGTTCCTGTATGCCATGCGTCTCTCCGATGACCAGTTAGTGGACATTTCAGCTCGCTTTCGTGCGGGGATGGAAAAAGGACTGTCTAGTGAAAGCAACGCTACAGCCACGGTCAAGATGCTGCCCACGCATGTCCTCTCAACCCCTGATGGATCAGGTGCTGACATGTCACTTATGACATATTACTTAATGAAACTACTGCTTTTGTCTGTCTGACATACACTGTATACAATGTATTTGGAAAGTATTCAGACCCCTTGACTTCTTCCACATTTTGTTACGTTACAGCCTTATTCTAAAATTGATTAAATTGTTTTTTCCCCTCATCAATCTACACACAATACCCCATAATGGCAAAGCAAAAATAGGTTTTTAGAAATGTTTGCAAATGTATTAAAACTTTAAAAACGGAAATGTCACATTTACATAAGTATTCAGACCCTTTACTCAGTACTTTGTTGAAGCACCTTTGGCAGCGATTACAGCCTAGAGTCTTCTTGGGTATGACGATACAAGCTTGGCACACCTGTATTTGGGGAGTTTCTCCCATTCTTCTTGTCCCAGTTTGAGGTCCTGAGTGCTCTGGAGCAGGCTTTCATCAAGGATCTCTCTGTACTGTGCTCCGTTCATCTTTCCTTCGATCCTGACTAGTCTCCCAGTCCCTGCCGCTGAAAAACATCCCCACAGCGTGATGCTGCCACCACCATTCTTCACCGTAGGGATGGTGGCCAGGTTTCCTCCAGACGTGACGCTTGGCATTCAGGCCAAAGAGTTCAATCTTGGTTTCATCAGACCAGAGAATCTTGTTTCTCATGATCTGAGAGTCTTTTAGATGCCTGTCGGCAAACTCCAAGCGGGTTGTCATGTGCCTTTTACTGAGGAGTAGCTTCCGTCTGGCCACTCTACCATAAAGGCCTGATTGGTGGAGTGCTGCAGAGATGGTTGTCCTTCTGGAAGATTCTCCCATCTCCACAGAGGAACTCTGGAGCTCTGTCAGAGTGACCATCGGGTTCTTGGTCACCTCCCTGACCAAGGCCCTTCTCCCCCGATTGCTCAGTTTAGCCTCAACACAATCCTGTCTCGGAGCTCTACGGACAATTCTTTCGACCTCATGGCTTGGTTTTTGCTCTGACATGCACTGTCAACTGTGGGACCTTATATAGACAGGTGTGTGCCTTTCCAAATCATGTCCAATCAATTGAATTTACCACAGGTGGACTCCAATCATGTTGTAGAAATATCTCAAGGATGATCAATGGAAACAGGATGCACCTGAGTTCTATTCCGAGTCTCTTCGCAAAGGGTCTGAATACTTATGTAAATAAGGTATTTCTGTTTTTTATGTTTTATACATTTGAAAAAACAACAACTTGTTTTCGCTTTGCCATTATGGGGTATTGTGTGTAGATTGATGAGGATTTTTATTTATTTAATCAATTTTAGAATAAGGCTGTAACATAACAAAATGTGGAAAAAGTCAAGGGGTCTGAATACATTCCGAATGCACTGTATACAAAAGTATGTGGAAACCCCTTCAAATTAGTGGATTCAGCTATTTCAGCCACACCCGTTGTTGACAGCTGTATCAAATCAAACACACAGCCATGCAATCTCCGTAAACAAACATTGGCAGTAAAATGGCCTTACTGAAGAGCTCAGTGACTTTCAACGTGGTACCGTCATAGGATGCCACCTATCCAACAAGTCAGTTTGTCAAATTTCTGCCCTGCTAGAGCTGCCCCGGTCAACTGTAAGTGTTGTTATTGTGAAGTGGAAACGTCTAGGAGCAACAACAGCTCAGCCGCGAAGTGGCAGGCCACACAAGCTCACAGAACGGGACCGCCGAGTGCTGAAGCACGTAGCACGTAAAAATCATCTGTCCTCGGTTGCAACACTCACTACCAAGTTCCAAACGGCCTCTGGAAGCAACGTCAGCACAATAACTGTTCGTCGGGAGCTTCATGAAATGGGTTTCCATGGCCGAGCAGCCGCACACAAGCCTAAGATCACCATGCGCAATGCCAAGCCTCAGCTGGAGTGGTGTAAAGCTCACCGCCATTGGACTCTGAAGCAGTGGAAATGTGTTCTCTGGAGTGATGAATCACGCTTCACCATCTGGCCGTCCGACGGATGAATCTGGGTTTGGCGGATGCCCGGAGAACGCTACCTCCCCGAATGCATAGTGCCAACTGTAAAGTTTGGTGGAGGAGGAATAATGGTCTGGGTATTGTTTTTCATGGTTCGGGCTAGACCCCTTCGTTCCAGTGAAAGGACATTTTAACGCTACAGCATACAATGACATTCTTGATGATTCTGTGCTTCCTACTTTGTGGAAACAGTTTGGGGAAGGCCCTCTCCTGTTTCAGCATGACAATGCCCCCGTGCACAAAGTGAAGTCCATACAGAAATGGTTTGTCGAGATCGGTGTGGAAGAACTTGACTGGCCTGCACAGAGCCCTGACCTGAACCCCATCAAACACCTTTGGGATGAATTAGAACGCAGACGGCGAGCCCGACCTAATCGTCCAACATCAGTGCCCGACCTCACTAATACTCTTGTGGCTGAATGGAAACAAGTCCCCGCAGAAATGTTCCAACATCTAGTGGAAAGGCTTTCCAGAAGAGTGGAGGCTGTTATAGCAGCAAAGGGGGGACCAACTCCATATTAATGCCCATGATTTTGGAGTGAGATGAGGTGTCCACATACTTTTGGTCATTTATTGTATGTAACAACATACTAATCATGTATTTTTATTTGCTATTTTGATCTTAATACATTCAGTTATTATATGTGACAGGCGGTGTAGTGCTGTTTTATGAACAAGAGGTCAGTCAAAGTTAAAATTGTGTTGTCTCCACAGAGAAGGGAGAGTTCCTGGCGTTAGATCTGGGTGGCTCCAAGTTTAAAGTGCTCCAGGTGAAGGTGTCTGAGAATGGGAAGAGAAGGGTGGAGATGGAGAGTGAGACGTACCCTATCCCAGTGGAACTCCTGAACGGTAGAGGGACTGAGGTGAGTAGAATGACAACGGATGTTATTACGTAGACAGACATACTCTGATTAAAAACAGGAATCATTCAAACCTGCACTGTAAAAACACGTAACTTGTTTTTATGGTGACATACTGACAGCCAGTTACCTGTAAGTTACTGTAAAAAAAAGTACAGTATGTTACCGTAAATTCCAAATAAACTTTGGTTTAAAAGTACATTACTGTAAAGAAAGCACTTCTTTACAGTAAAGCACTTCTTTACGGTAATGTACTGTTAAACCAAAGTTTCCCTGGAATGGATGATAACATACTGTAACTTTTTTTAAAGTAAGGGGTACACTGTTCAGCTAAAATAGCGTAAACAACTTTAATCAATATGATTACATTTGACATGATCACTTAGTGCTGACTTTTCAATATGACCCCACCTGCGATTTGAAATCACATCCTCTGGATTTGGGGTATGCTGATCTTTCTACTGCTCCACAAAGTCTGTAGCATTCTACAGATTCATTACCAATAATAAATCTCTGCACTTACAAAAAGAGTACCATCTGCACTGCTATTTTATTTATCAGTTAATCTGACTATTCTCTCATCATTCATTTAATTTACTTATTTTAGCAATTTTAGGGTTTGCTGTATAGTTGTCTCATGTTGGTGGGGCATATTATTCTGTTATAATGTTACTCCTGAATCACTATGGTAAATATAATAGTTTTTCTTGAGTATTGACACAGCCATGGTGGTGTAGCAGGAAGATCGTAATGCTGTGAACTAAGAGGTTCTGAATTCAAATCCCAGGTGAGGTCCTGAGGACATGCTGAAAAATAATTACTTTATACATTAACATACACTTAATCATGTATGTCAAAGTGTGTCAAATATGTAAGTTAAAAAGACTGAGACTGCATGACGTTCTGGGGACATCCTAACGATTCCTTTTTGTTTGTAGGGCATCACCTGTGAAATCTCCTGAAATATATCCATGTGAGACTTCATGTGAAATATCATCACATGTGAAGTGTTCCTAACCACATGGTTTCACCTGATTTAAACATGTGAAAGGTTATGTGGTCACATGAAAATCCACAATTTTACATGTGCAAAACGTGGACATTTCACATATGAAATCTTGTTGTTTTTCAGTAAGGGATGGCAGATTTTTAAACGTAGTTGAAAGCTGAGCCACACAGCTCGGAAGTCACCTTTCACTGAGAATGGAAGCTTTTCCCTTCTGTTCTAATCTATTTGAAATCTTGCCAAATTTGCTCTCCTTGGTTTGCTTTCAACAGATACTTTTTAACCAGAAAAGTCAGACCCCCACTTACTGAGAACTGAATCATCACACATTTCATTAGGATCTTTGTGTCAGGACATTTTTGGTTAGTCAACACAGCTCCATTCTGTTCATTTCCCAAGTACTTTGATGACGCACATGACAAATCAGCTGTTTTCTTAGCTAAATCTCTAGTTTCAGTGGAAACAAGTACACTAAAATCTACCTGCCTGTCTTTGCACTCAGATCTACACATATAAATGTACAATTAAATAATGATTATGGAGTTGACAGTGAAGCTGACCTTTTAGCAGTGATGTCATTTCATCAAGAAGATGCAGCAGGCATCTGAGCTAGCACTTTCCCAAGGATGCTGGGCAGTTCTGTGGGCAGAGTTTGAGAGAGAACTAATAGGTCTGCAGCATAAAGGAAGGAGGCCGATACTGCATGGCAAACCTAGGAAGTAATCCAAAAGGAATCAGAGTACTTTACTCATTTTGAGTAATCAGATTACATTACTAATTACTTTCATTGTCATGCAATCTGTAATTAATCTGTAATCTGCCCAACCCTGTCTATTTTACAGATGTTTGACCATGTTGCAGAGTCTCTGAAAGACTTCATGCAAAAAAAGCACATCAACCAGAAGAGAGAACCTTTGGGCTTCACCTTCTCTTTCCCTTGTGGACAGTCCAAAATAGATGAGGTATTTAACAATACAGCCTAGGTTATTGATTAGATTTACTCTAGAATCTTATCTTAATGTGAGTATTATCACTCCAAAAATATCAGACGGGCTCCAATTGATTATCAATTAAACCAGCTACCTGCAAAGCCACTTACATATGATGTAACAGTAGGTGTGAACTGCATTGATAAAATTGTTGACACTATTCAGAGTGTAATCCTTGCTTTCTTTCAACAATCAAACCCTGTTTTAGGGAGTGCTGTTGTCATGGTCAAAGAACTACAAGGCCAGAGGAGTCCTGGGGACCAATGTGGTGCAATCCTTGAGACAGGCCATTGACAGAGTCGGGGTATTAAGGGAGATCTTATTCACTACTTATTGTCACTCAGTTACAATTTTTCTTGCATTTCTGTATGTACTACAGTATAAAAGGAATTTGTCAATTAAAACACCAGCCAACACTGTTTACAGGGAATCGATGTGGATGTCCTAGCCCTTGTTAATGACACAGTGGGAACCATGATGACCTGTGGCTATGACGACCAGCGTTGTGAAGTGGGGGTCATCATAGGTCAGCCTGATATTAATTTGCACGCTTCATTCAGAATGTTTGTATTATCAGCCTTTCCCTGTAGCTACCCTACAACTAGTATTTCTCACCATTGCTATGTCATCTCAGGCACAGGTACTAATGCTTGTTACATGGAGGAGCTGAGGCACATTGACCTGGTGGAGGGAGACGAGGGCCGGATGTGCATCAACACAGAGTGGGGAGCCTTTGGGGACGATGGGGCACTCAATGACTTCATTACACACTTTGACCGAGAGATTGATGCTGCCTCCACCAACCCAGGGAAGCAACTGTAAGCACCAAAATCCATAACCAACCATATTGGAAATATATTCATTATTAGATAACATTGTAAACATTCTGAGTAAACCCACGATATGGTTTCCCTTTATTTACAATTGAGTGAATTGGGGCCTTACACTAGTAGGAATGTAAATAAAGACTGTTAACACTAGTGTGTTGCTCTGGCAGGTTTGAGAAGATGGTTAGTGGGATGTACATGGGGGAGTTGGTGAGACTCATTCTGTTAAAGATGGCCAAGAAGGGACTACTGTTTGATGGCAGAGTTTCCGATGCTCTACGCACCAAAGGGACATTTCAGACCAAACACATCACTTTAATTGAACAGTAAGAGCATTTTCCATGAGTCTTAATGCTCACACTGTAAATATATAGTATTTCATTTATTTGTACAAATTTTCACAGACATTTATCAGGGAAATGTATTTCACACTGTGATAACTATGTCAGAACTATACTTCCAGGTACAAAGACGGGCTGAAGAACACCAGGGAAATCCTCACGGAGCTTGGCCTGTCCCCCTCAGCAGACGATTGCCTTGCCGTCCAACACGTCTCCACCATCGTGTCCTTCAGGTCGGCTAACCTCTGCGCCGCCGCGCTGGCTGCCATCCTCACCCGCATCCGCGAGAACAGGAAGCTGAAGAGCCTGCGGATCACTGTTGGGGTTGACGGGACTGTCTACAGAACACATCCACAGTATGTAGCCATAAGTCACGGAAGATTTCTGCTCAGAGTTTTCCTCTTTGCCTGTGAACACTGACAATAAACTCTCCTCTCCTCTCCTCTCCTCTCCTCTCCTCTCCTCTCCTCTCCTCTCCTCTCCTCTCCTCTCCTCTCCTCTCCTCTCCCAGGTACCCCAAGAGGCTCCACAAGGTGGTGCGCCAGCTGGTGCCAGAGTGCCACGTGCGCTTTGTGCTGTCTGAGAGTGGTAGCAGTAAGGGGGCTGCCATGGTAACAGCGGTGGCTCAGAGGCTGGCGGCCCAGAGGAGGGAGATCAGCGACACTCTTGCTCTCCTCAGCCTGAGTCCAGAGAACCTCCAGCAGGTCAAGGACAAGATGAGAGTGGAGCTAGAGAGAGGCCTTAGGAAGGATTCCCACAGCATGGCCTCTGTTAAAATGCTGCCCTCCTTTGTGTACAGGACACCTGATGGGACAGGTGAGAGAACTGGCTACAGATTGCTATGCACTGGATCTAAAGGTTTACCTTGTTGTTCATAATGTGGAACATTATCATATTATTACCATGCTAAAATCCATTATTACACTTGATTCTTTATTCTGTACCGTCACCTAAACAGTTTATGAAATGTTGCTATCTAAAATCACATCATTAGGTGCAAGTTGTTTCATTTAAAGTTGTGTGATTACAAAGTTTATTATTGCAGAGCGAGGAAAGTACTTGGCTTTGGACCTGGGAGGAACTAACTTCCGGGTGCTGGTGGTGAAGATCCGGAGTGGAATACGCAAGTCTGTTCGCATGTACAACAAGATCTACTCCATCCCTCTGGAGATCATGCAGGGCACAGGAGAGGAGGTGAGCCCTCCACCCCCCCCCCCCCCCCCCCCCCCCCCCCCCGACTGCTAACCAGGTCCCTACCCCCTTAACCTGACAAACTCTCTGTTTCTAGCTGTTCGACCACATTGTCCAGTGCATCTCAGATTTCCTGGACTACATGGGGATGAAGAATACTCGTCTCCCGCTAGGTTTCACCTTTTCTTTCCCCTGCAGACAGACAGGAATTGATAAGGTAAAAGTACAATCGTCGTGATGAAGAAATCATCCTCAATGCCAAAGAATAGCAGTTATTTCAATGCCCTGTGTAAGTAATTACATTAATACGTATGTTACCGCTCTCCATTGTAATACTTCCTTCCTCAGGGAAGTTTGGTTAGCTGGACCAAAGGGTTCAAAGCCACAGACTGTGAAGGAAATGATGTTGTGGAAATGCTCCGAGAGGCTATCAAAAGACGGAATGTGAGTGAAATGGAACAAGACCCACTGTTCTCTGTAATAGGTAGTCTGGAAAACATGTACTATTGCCCATTAGAAAAGTGTGTGTATATATAGGTAAAAAGTAATATTTTGTTTCCTGTAGGAATTTGATCTTGACATTGTTGCCGTGGTGAATGACACAGTGGGCACAATGATGACGTGTGCATATGAAGACCCCAAGTGTGAGATAGGACTCATTGCTGGTATGTAGGGCCTATTCTCAGCCCTGGTGGTTTTATATTGTACTATAGAGTGAGATATGTATGATCTTAGTGTGAAATGCTGCCCCCTAGGGACGGGGAGTAACGTGTGCTACATGGAGGAGATGAGGAACATTGAGATGGTGGAGGGGGACGAGGGACAGATGTGTGTGAACACAGAGTGGGGTGGTTTTGGCGAGAATGACTGCATAGAGGACATCCGGACCAGGTTTGACAGAGAAGTAGATGAGGGGTCATTGAACAACGGCAAACAAAGGCAAGTTGTTAACATCCAGACCTGACTGATCACTTCCTGCACCACTACAGGACACATCCAGATCTGACTGACCACTTCATGTACCACTACAGGACACATCCAGACCTGACTGATCACTTCCTGTACCACTAGAAGACACATCCAGACCTGACTTACCACTTCCTGTACCACTACAGGACACATCCAGACCTGACTGATCACTTCCTGTACCACTAGAAGACACATCCAGACCCGACTGACCACTTCTTATACCACTAGAGGACACATCCAGACCTGACGGACCACTTCCTGTACCACTAGAGGACACCCTGCTGCCAGATTTAGTTCAGTCTAAATCTAATGTGAATTTGTTATTCAACCGTGCTAAAGAGATCTACATTATGCTTGATTATGCTTATGGGTATTTTCTGTAACTCATAATCGTTTAAAAAGACTTGATAAAAATTATGCTTGACCATATTTTGGTGAATAAGAGGTCTAGATTATTGGCACAGCAATGCGGTGAAATATTGAATAATTGAAGCTGTTTTTCATGTTGCCTATTTCATGTCATATCCTGTTGCCCTAGGTTTGAGAAGATGACCAGCGGTATGTACTTGGGGGAGATAGTGAGGCAGATTCTCATCGACCTAACCAGGAGAGGTCTTCTGTTCCGAGGCCACATCACAGAGCCTCTGAAGACCAGGGGCATCTTCGAGACCAAGTTCATGTCCCAAATCGAGAGGTACAGAGTCGTAGAAATGATCATGTAGTACAGCAACTCAGGCCTGTAATAGTAGATAGATTGAACATAAATCCACATATTATTACTAATATGAATATTTGAACACCCGAAACGTAACAAAACGTTTTGCAACGGAAACCGTTTACTCCAAACTGGAAACATTTTGCAACAAAAACTAGAGTTTCTGTTGGACAAAGTCAGGTAGGTCCCTCCCTGTTTTGTTCTGTTTGCTTCTGTTTGGTTCCTTCGGTTCTGAGCCCCTGCCTATCTTCCGAAAACGTTTTAAAAACCTACCTATTCACAAAATATCTTCATTAATTCCACAGCACCCCTCACCCCTACCCTTGTGTTTCTCGCACTTGTCTTTCTTAATTGCACTAACTTTGCTAATAGCTACTTTGAGGAAAAAATTACTTACTATGACTGTGATTTGTGGTTGTCTCTCCTAGCTAGCTACCTTAAGATGAATGCACTAAATGTAAGTCGCTCTGGACTAAAATGTAAAATGTAGTGATTACACCCCAGGTGTACAAGAATATCAAGTGTGTGACTCCTCTATATCTCCCCCCAGTGACCGGTTGGCGCTACTGCAGGTGAGGTCCATCCTGCAGCAGCTGGGTCTGGACAGCACATGTGATGACAGTATCATCGTCAAGGAGGTGTGTGGTACAGTGTCTCGCAGGGCGGCTCAGCTTTGTGGAGCCGGAATGGCCGCCATCGTTGACAAAATCCGAGAGAACCGTGGGCAGAACCAAATGAACATCACTGTGGGGGTGGACGGAACACTCTACAAGCTGCATCCACAGTGAGTAGCCACCAGGGGCAAGGGAGATTTAGATTTAACAGGGTTATAGTTATACTTGAACAGACTGCAGAGTTTTTTTTATGTCGTTTTATTTTCATAGAGAGAAGGGGAGATAGTAATTCTGGTCAGATGAGAGGGCAACACAGCAAGGAAATCAACCCTCTGCTTCTAGGGGCAACATGTAGCCAGGAGTCAAACTAACCCCTAGTTCAGACTTTGGCACAATTTTAATGAGTTTTAAAGCACAACGCATCTAACACAGTACCTCTTGAACTGTGCAGCTTTTCCAGAATCCTCAAGGACACGGTCAAGGCTCTGGCGCCACAGTGTGACGTGGAGTTTGTCCTATCAGAAGATGGCAGTGGCAAAGGGGCCGCCCTCATCACAGCTGTGGCACGTGGAGGGACATAACACTAGATTGGACCTCGTGTATGCAGTTTTTGTGCCAAACACACAAAGGAATTTGGAACCTTATGGTTCTCCCTCATCGTCATCTGCCATTGTAAATGTAATGTAAGGAAGGTGTGATGCTGTGCAATATTTTCTTTGCCATAGTACAACTGCAATATAATCAAATAGCTACTGTTAAAATTATGTCTGTATTTGGATTCTCCACCGCTACACTGCTATACCTATCCAGAACCTCTTGCAAAACATTGAATGGGTTAGGACGAAGGGGAAGGGGTAGGGAGCTGATTGAGACTGGCTGGTACTATCTAGATGTGTTATTTCATTGTTTTGAAAGGCTCCTCATGCTCTCAGCAGACAGGGACAGCAATGGAAGTGGGCCAGAGCAAATGGAATGGATCAGACTGGAATGTCATAACAACACTATTCAGCATTGTGATGATCTGGTGGGTGAAGCCTGAGGGAGTTAAACTTGCAACTTTGTTCAAGCTCTCCATATGCAACAGAGTATGTGTCAAATTGTATGATGCTTTTTTATTTGAGATATCAACAGGACAAATTCCACTTATATGTAGATATTAGTACTGATGGAAATCCCCATCTCTATGTACAGTATGTACCCGCTAAAGTTAACATTTGTATTCAATAAGCTACTTAAATAATACAATCGAAATGCCAAGTTTGTGGAATGTATCCCTTCTCTGTAGAGATTCTAGCATGTGTTGAGAAAGACATATTGGCACTATCAGTGGCTTAAAGCTGTTTCCAAATCTATATTCAATTGTCACATCCTGTAGAATTCAATTACACAACCACGTTAATTGAATAATTTTGAGTCATATCCTAGGTTACAACATTGGAATGTCCCCTCTTCTGTTGGCTAAATTAAGCCCCTAGTGGGATGAAATGGAAGAGCTAAACTAGGGGGCAGCTGCATGCGCAGTAGTAAAGGGAAAACCTCACTCACACTAATCCCTCGCTGTCCTAGCAGCGATCTAGCCTCCTGGGCTAATGATTCAGCTCACTTAGGAAGAAGGGCTGCTGCATGCTGTGGGGAGCACCTCGTAAAACCAGAATCTAAACAGCACCCCTGTGGGTAGGCATATAAATACTATGCACTGACATACATGCCCCCGTAAATTATACAGTATAGGACGATTATGACTTAAAGGATTATGATTGTGCCTGGCAGATTTAAGTGTAGCCTTTTTTGCTCCTTTGGCTGAAAATATTTGGGTGCATTCATTCAGCATTCTTGTTTGTTCTGTTGTAACAATAAGAGCTTTCAGGCAGAACTATCACAAGGGGAATCAGCATAGATGTGTGGTTCTGAAGGACTGCAGACACACTGGGCCCAGCAAAGTATTTGAGTCACCATTTGATTATATAATGAATCACCCTTTCTTAAATCCCGGCCAATCCTATCTGGAGGAACAAGTCGGTAGCTCTGACTTACATTGAGATGACCTAATCTTATTGAGGAGAATACTTTCCCTTTTCCTTCAACCATGGATAACATGAAGAGATTGAAGAGTGAGGAAGAGAGAGATGATGAAGATATTTTACCACATCCTACTGTACGTATCACTATCTCTTTAGGGGAAGGGAGATGCTAGGCTTATAACAAATATGCATTATGGTTAGTTGAATAAAGCAAATTCAACTGAAGTCATTGACTAATACCTTAGCGAGTGCTTATTAATTGGATTCTTGGACAGGAACACAATGCATTAGCTGTGTGATAGATGGAAAAATTGCCAGCTGGATAATTTGTATTAAAACTGATGTACAGGCTTATTCACAACATTGCTTAAAGATCTCTTTGGGCACCCTTTTGCCAAATGGGTAAAATAAATATTTGCAGTTTTACAGCTAATTTCCTGAAATTCTACACATTTTGGTCAGGGGGCCCCTAACATGTCCCCTTCGTGCCAGTTTGGTAATTCAGCCATGATTACTACAAGTTTAGATATCTTGTTAGACTAACTTACCAATCTAAAAAATGTGAGGAGACATGGGCTAATTGAGTGACTGTCAGTGACTGACATAACAAGAGGAAAACTGCTGATGCACAACCAAATGTAGAAATGGTGTATTCTACTATTCTAAGGCCTAGATTCAATCAAATCAAACGTTAACAAGCGATAGCCAAATGATTTGAAAGTTTCTGTAAAAAAAGTAATATTCTTATATTTAAGCAATAAGGCCCAAGGAGGTGTGGTATATGGCTAATATACCATGGCTAAGGGCTGTTCTTATGCACTACGCAACGCAGAGTGCCTGGACACAGCCCTGAGCCGTGGTATATTGGCCATACAGTGCATTCGGAAAGTATTCAGGCCCCTTGACCTTTTCCACAATTTGTTACATTACAGCCTTATTCTAAAATGGATTTAAAAAAAAAATAATCCTCAGCCATCTACAGTGCCTTGCAAAAGTACTCATCCCCCATGGCGATTTTCCTATTTTGTTGCATTACAACCTGTAATTTAAATGGATTTTTATTTGGATTTCATGTAATGGACATACACAAAATAGTCCAAATTGGTGAAGTGAAACGAAAAAAATTACTTGTTTCAAAACATTATAAAAATAAATAACTGAAAAGTGGTGCGTTCATATGTATTCACCCCTTTGCTATGAAGCCCCTAAATAAGATCTGGTGCAACCAATTACCTTCAGAAGTCACATAATTAGTTAAATAAAGTCCACCTGTGTGCAATCTAAGTGTCACATGATCTGTCACATGATCACAGTGTATATATACACCTGTTCTTAAAGGCCCCAGAGTCTGCAACACCACTAAGCAAGGGGCACCACCAAGCAAGCGGCACCATGAAGACCAAGGAGCTCTCCAAACAGGTCAGGGACAAAATTGTGGAGAAGTAAAGATCAGGGTTGGGTTATAAAAAAATATCTGAAAGTTTGAACATGTAAAGAATATGGCACCACAACAAACCTGCCAAGTGAGGGCCGCCCACCAAAACTCACGGACCAGGCAAGGAAGGCATTAATCAGAGAGGCAACAAAGAGACCAAAGATAACCCTGAAGGAGCTGCAAAGCTCCACAGCGGAAATTTGAGTTCTGTCCATAGGACCACTTTAAGCCGTACACTCCACAGAGCTGGGCTTTTCAGAAGAGTGGCCAGAAAAAAGCCATTGCTTAAAGAAAAAAATAAGCAAACATATTTGGTGTTCGCCAAAAGCCATGTGGGAGACTCCCCAAACATATGGAAGAAGGTACTCTGGTCAGATGAGACTAACATTTAGCTTTTTGGCCATCAAGGAAAATGCTATGTCTGGTGCAAACCCAACACCTCTCATCACCCCGAGAACACCATCCCCACAGTGAAGCATGGTGGTGGCAGCATCATGCTGTGGGGACGTTTTTCATCGGCAGGGACTGGGAAACTGGTCAGAATTGAAGGAATGATGGATGGCGCTAAATACAGGGACATTCTTGAGGGAAACCTGTTTCAGTCTTCCAGAACTCTTTGGCCTGAATGCCAAGCGTCACGTCTGGAGGAAACTTGGCACCATCCCTACGGTGAAGCATGGTGATGGCAGCATCATGCTGTGGGGATTTTTTCCGCGGCAGGGACTGGAAGACTAGTCAGGATCGAGGGAAAGATGAACGGAGCAAAGTACAGAGAGATCCTTGATGAAAGCCTGTTCCAGAGCGCTCAGGATCTCAGACTGGGGGCGAAGGGTCACCTTCCAACAGGACAACGATCCTAAGAACACAGCCAAGACAACGCAGGAGTTGCTTCGGGACATGTCTCTGAATGTCTTTGAGTGGCCCAGCCAGAGCCCTGACTTGAACCTGATTTAACATCTCTGGAGAGACATGAAAATAGCTGTGCAGCAACGCTCCCTATCCAACCTGATAGAGCTTGAGAGGATCTGCAGAGAAGAATGGGAGAAACTCCCCAAATACAGGTGTGCCAAGCTTGTAGTGTCATACCCAAGAAGACTCAATGTTGTAATCGCTGCCAAAAGTGCTTCAACAAAATACTGAGTAATGGGTCTGAATACTTATGTAAATGTAATATTTCAGTTTCTTATTTTTTATAAATTTGCAAACATAAAAAAAAAACTGTTTTTGCTTTGTCATTATGGGCTATTGTGTGTAGATTGTTGAGGGGAAAAAATGATTTCAACAATTTTAGAATAAAGCTGTAACGTAAAAAATTTGAAAAAGTTCTGAAGGCACTGTATATCACAAACCCCCAAGGTGCCTTATTGCTATTATAAACTGGTTACCAACGTAATTAGAGCAGTAAAAATAAATGTTTTGTCATACCCATGGTATACGGTCTTATATACCACAGTTTTCAGCCAATCAGCATTCAGGGCTCAAACCATCCAGTTTATAATCACAAATATTCCACAGCATAGGGCATACATAATAGGGCATACACTCAAACACATATTATTGAGATCTTCTCCCCACCAACTCCAAAACTGTTCGATTTATGTGTGGCTATAAATTAAAGGGAATATTTGAATGATCACCTCACAAAATGTGTTTCATACATGATCAAAATCCTATTTTATTGCTCAGTGTGAATTCCTACACCATCCCAGCTCTTTGGAGGAACATTACCTCTCAGTTATCTACTGTGTAAACATCCTATACTCTATGTTGTCCCCATGGTGATTCTACCTGAAACTGTCACTGACAGGAAATTACTTTATGTTTGTGAAATCTGTGTTTGTTGGTTGTGTGTCTGTGCATGCATATCCAATGTGTAATAATCACTCCCTCTCTGACTCTATAGTATACTATACGTGGGTAACACAGTTTTGACATTTTGAATTATTTCCCCATTTTATTAGTATTGATGGAATACCCTACACTGTAAAGTGGTTGTTGTGAATTTGACAGTAACTTACAGGCAGCTGGTGGTAAGATACTGTATTTCATATTGCAATAAAACTACAGTAATCAAATTACAGTATCAAAGCAAATATTGTGTAATGACACACAGTACATTAATCGT